GCTGGGATACACGCAACTTTGAAGCTCTCATGATTACAAATAATGTACTCAGCTAGAAATTTATGTCTCCCGTTTGATGGCACTAGAAAGAATAATAAATGGCGCTGCTTACGGTCAAGTTTTTTTACCAACTCATAGGACTTCCTGCATTTTGCGTCATTATTTGATGGACCTCATAGAGTTCATCCTTCAGCTTATTCATGGGTGTTACAGTACCTTATATTCTAGGTTTCAAGCATCGAAGGTAAATTTCTTTCCTCGGAAATTTATAACCAACATATGAGGCTTATCCTCTTATCATTTCTCACTGAAAAGAACAAACAGAACTCGATCATTATTCGTAGGTGGTGCTATATGAGAGGATGGTTTGAGAAGATGAGTGGTGATGAGCTTGAGAATCGTGAGGAATGCTGGTGTTGTGCTGCTTCAAAGATAGATCCCAGACTAAATCAACATTCAAGTTGCTAAGGTTCGTATTAAGTTTTTAATTATTCGGTTCCAATCTTGATTTTATTCAAAGGATGCATCTTTAGGTTTGGATAGAGCAACGGTGTCGTGTAAAAGATATAACATCTGAAACTGGAATGTATATTATTTGAATCATCATGATGAGACTTTCAATAGAACATTATGTTGACTTGACTTAGGTCGGTGGTGGTCCTTGTGGATGTGTTGCAGGCTGTGAAGAGAGCAGTGGTTCCTGTCATCCTTGATGTGGGAGGAATGGATACGCCAATCCTTAATGACCTATTGGATTCAGTCGACGTCTTAACTCAAATGAAACTGAGCTCAGTCGTTTAGACAGAATGCATACTGAAACTTTTCAACATTTTAGCCAGGCTGTTGCAAAGTGCCATAAGTTGGTATGTAAATCTTCTTTGATCAAACACATTGTAGGATGATTCAGTTTGGAGATGCAGATGTTATAATCATAAATTTATTGTTCTCTTTTCTTTGTCCAGATAAAGAGCTTTGTCGACTAAGTATAATTCATCACCGCAAGAAGCTTCACGGCCTTTCGATTGTGGCAGGGATGGTTTTGTGTGAGTTACATTCTTGGCTGTTTATTTGAAAGAATCTGTTTTGGAGATGTTGAGGTCATAACATTATAAATTTTGTTGCAGGATATGGGAAGTCTCAGGAGTTGAGACTCTAAAGTCATCCCCCACAACTGTTTTCTTGGCGATAATCTCTTCTGATTTTCTGGTTATAAAAAATAGGAACTGAGCATGCAAAAAGATGTGGAGCAAAATTTTATGCTGAGCTTTGTGGATATGGGATGTCAGGTTAGGCTCATACATTAGTAAAAAAAAACTTTACTATTCCACAGATAAACACAATTTGAGTTTCATCAGAATGAAGTCTTCTTGGAATATAGGTGATGCACACCATATTACTCAACCTCCTGAAGATGGAAAGGGAGCTGCTCTGATCATGTCATATGCCTTAAAACATGTAAACTGAATCATTCTAGTACTTAAACTCTCAGATTTTGATTACTGGCTTAGTGGGTTTTGGGTTATCAATCCACAACTAGGGCTGTGTATATTATTAACCAAAACCACATGTGTTGTCGTCATCACTCAACCTCTGTTGAGCATCTCTAGGAAACTACCCCAATCCCTCCCCACTGTTTTGAGTCAGAAGCAAAAGTGTTTGTGCTCTCCCAAAACGCACCCACTGCGGTTTTCACGGCCGATTAGAAAACAAGAAGGTCAAGCCTCAGCTTTGTGAGACTACCAGTAAATATATCAGGGATGAATCTGTGAAATTAGCTATTGTAAATTCTCTTGCGAGGATGGTCAGCTTGGAGGCAGACTTATAGGAAATACTTGACGAAGAGTATGGTTAACCATAGTCTTTATATATATATCACTGTGATGACTTTCTGCGCCGACTTAGCCGCCATAAAAATCAAGATTAGAATAAATAGTAATTTATGTACTTTGAATCTGGATTTTTCTTTGCATGGTATATGGATGTGTATGTGTACGTTTGTTTTCATTCCATTAAACACTTTATTAGTAATTCTATTGATCCTCTGAACATTTTCAACTATATGTTTCCACCCTTGTGCTTTTTTCTAATTATTTGATTCCTAATTATTTGATGCGGAAAAAAGTTTTATCCTTTTCTCAATACAAATAACAAACAAAAACAGAAGTGTTAGCACAAAATAAAAAAAGTTGATCTAGTTATAACTTTTTTTTATGTTGGCTTCTGTATTTTAGATTTTGGAAACTAATAGAACAGGGTATCAAAATGAGAATCATTAAAAGAGTTTATTTTTCAAATGTGTATTACTCTCTTTTAATTTCAACAACTAAATCAAACATAATCTAATTTGATTGCTAAAACTGGTATGGGGATCTCAATTATCTAATTTTTCTTGCACCAACCATCATCTTATAGTTTGATCATCTATTTTATTGGTTAGTAAAATTAAAAACAAAAATGGCTATGAACAGGCTGCAAATTACCAATATCAAAAGACACATACATGTCAAATGGTCGTCATTTACCAACATAAAAAATGGCTATGAGCAGGCTGCAAATTACCAACATTAAAAGACACACACATGTCAAATGGTCATCAATTACAAGTCTTCCTCGACTAAATCAAAAATACACCTACACATCCCTACTTATGCCCCCACCCACAATCCTCTGCATATGCAAATACTGCAACGCAACAACAACATTCACAGCCCCCGAAGAGTTTAGTTTCTTATTACCATGTATAACTTCTTTCAGTACACTAATTTATTGACTTTTTGCTGGGGAGCTTTTTACTAAATAGATGTTTTTTTTGTTTACGAGCTTTTTTTTGAGAAATTTTGTTTGTTTCCTTTAAAAAGAAAATCACATACGAATTTCTAACTAAATTGTCAAAAATGTGTCATAACAAATTATAGTGTTAGGTTATCGTCTTCTGTCTATGTGGATCAGGATCCATGAGTTTGGTTTCCAGTGTGTTTATACACATTAGTACACAAACATACAAAAGTCTTTTTAATTACATTAAAATAAGAGATTTTGCATTCAATAACCAAACAAAAAAATTTGGTTCACTATTTAACCAAAATCACACTCTTTCTTTTCTTTTCTTTTCCTATCCCTCTCTCTCCAAAACTGATTTCTCTTCTTTTTTTTTGTTATTTCACAAATAAATCCAATAAATAATCTCAGGCCAACAAAACTTGCTCCATCAACATTTAATTCTTCGCTTCCATTCTTTCAACTAAAACACCACATGTAATACATGGAAAATTTTTATCTCTATTATAGACCAGTACAACTATACTAAACAAAACACTCTAGTGCAAATATTATAACTATGTACTAAAATAACACAAGTATTTGTCATGGATCCTATTACTCCTTGGACAACAAATACAAGAAATAAGGAAGAAGAACAGAAGTAGTGTCACTGCACAAGTTGTGTTTATCTCCATCGTTTGGATTTCACATTAAGTTCAGAGAGAAAGAAAGTAGTTTTCATAAATTATTTATGTTTTTTTTTTCCTTTTTTTGTTTTTTTCATTTCTTTTATGTTGCATTAGTATCTCAGTTACGTCAATTTATTAAATAAAAATAAGTTTTCAAATTAACATACATATAAATGTACGTTTTAAACTTTGTCAAAATATCATAAAAAAAAATTTTATTTCCGGAATTGACCAAAAGCAATATTCAATTCTTCATTTGCATAGTCCTATTTCCTTTATTTTTCGTATTGTCTAAATTATTTCTCCAAATTATTATCATTTATTAAACTTAATATTGCATCATGAAGCGAATTAAAATGGTCTCAGTTCTAAAATTGTTACTCAACAATCTACTTCAAAAAATATTTTAAACCTATAATAATACTTTGAATAGCATTACCGAATTTTTTTTGTTCCGAAGCATATATAAAGTCATTTGCTGGTGCTGAATTTTAATGATTTTAAACTACGTTGGAAGTCATATACAAAAGTAATATTAATAAATTTATGAAATATAATTGAAATATTATAAAATATGTTACTCAGTTTGTAGTGATAAGTACTATTATTTTTCGTCTCTCATAATAAAAAAATTTACGATAAAAAAAATTCCATGTAACAGTAGAAAAAAATTTAAAATTAAATTTTTGCCATTTTATATTAATTAAACTAAGCACAAAAAATTAAATATTAAGTTAAACTGGTCAAGTAAACAAAAATCTTCCAAATTTACTGCAATAATTTACATAAGAAAATATGATTAAATTTTAAATGCAGTTTACCATGAAATATGTGAAATTCTTACTCGCTTTAGTATTGAAACAAAAACTTATTATAACACCTCTTTATTGATGTTATTTTCAGCTTAAGAAGGACAAAATAATACAAATCAAACCATTTTTAGGCTTTATTAAAATCACACATGAGTATAAAATATTAAAATTAAATTGAAAAACCAAACAATAAAAATAAATTCCAAACTATCATAATCTACTTTAATGTTGTAGATACTTTCCTGTTTATTAGTCTTAAATTATGTAACACTATACAAATAAACAACAATAAAATTATTGAAGAAAACTTACGAAGTTTACAAAATTAACATCCAAAAACATTTATGAAAATAATAATTTATTTAATATTGGGAAAATAAGACATGAAAAAAACAACATTAAGTAGAAAACAAAAAAAAACTAACTTAAACATTATATTATTACATTAATTAAAAATATATAATCCGCGTGTAGAACGAAGAAAAAATCTAGTAAAAGTAATACAATATATATTATAATAATGATGGAAGATGAGTTTTTTAGTTAGATACCCATGGCTACTCAGGCCAATATCCCATAAATATATTGGGCTTGCAATACAAAAAAGAAAAGGCGAGTAAGCCCTTATGAAGCCCCACCAGAAAGTTATTCGCCCACTCAGACATTTCACGTAGTAAAATAAGTATGAAATACGTTGCACGCGCCGTTCTATGCGATCAGTGACCAACTCTTCTTCTTCTTTTTTCTTTTTTTTTAACTCCGCCACCATCACAACGCGAAGAAAAGGGAACAAGAGAGATAGAGAGCACGGATCCCGCCTATACCGGTGGTAAAAAAACTCCTCCGAACGTTCTTCGTTAGATTATCCTCCTGGAGTCTTTGGGGTTTTATAGTGAGAATTTTGATCATATCTAGGTTCCCAGCATAACTGGGCGGCGTCTTTGATGATTTGTTGTCTTATTTAGTGTAGGTTTCTTGATAGTTTGTGTTTGCTTTTGGCGATGATGATTACGCCAACGTTTCTAGTATCTTACTGTATTTGAACTGATGCTGTCTTTAATTTGGAGACTCTACACAAATCTTTGTCTTTTGTGCTTCATTTCTTACCATCTATTTTTGGCATATTCTAACTTCTGCGTCCACAGATATTTATCAATGGAGGCTCGCTGCCCGTTGAGTAACCTTGCACACACTTCTTCAATACCAAACCCTTCACTCGCACCAGACATTCCCTTCAGTTCAGAACACAATCAACTCATAGAAAGGCCCTATCATTTGGGGGAAGCAGTTGGTCACATTTATTCTAATGATCTCCCTAACAACGCTTCCATGGTCGGAATCAGTGACACACCTTTCATATCTGAGATACTAGACTGGGATCCTGCTTCAATCCACGACCTTCTTGATTTGCCTCTGGATTCACCCATTCAAATGGAGGAGGATGGTGGCATCCTGGCATCTGGTGACATTCACAAACAAAGTGACTTGGATGACGAATTGGTTACTGGAATCTGGAACGATCTTTTCCTTGACCCAAATTCTACCTCAGCTTCCAAGGTTGTTGCGTTTTCTACTTTAAGGCTATAAATATTGTGTGTATCCAAATATCAGTTTTACATCTTCTATAGAACGCTACACCATGAAGAGATCCTTTTTTCTAAAAGGTTATTGCTTTCAGGTCCAGGAACCAACTATGCAATCTCAGGTTCAACAACCCCAAGTTTCCAGGCAGCAGCCTTCTCCTTGTTTTGAACTGCGACCTCTTGTTAGGACAGTATCCTCTAACAGCAACAACAACAACAGTTGCACTAGTAATAATACTGCAGCAGCTAAGGGACGTATGCGTTGGACGCCAGAACTTCACGACGCTTTTGTTGAGGCTGTTAACCAGCTTGGTGGCATGAACAGTGAGCATCTTCCCTGTTTTTTCTGATTCAAATGTCTTCTCTGTTTGTGCTGATTCAATTGTCTTCTTTAACGCAGACGCAAAACCAAAGGCCGTGCTGAAGCATATGAAAGTCGAAGGCTTGACTATATATCATGTCAAAAGTCATTTACAGGTTAACTTTTTATTTCTTCCTATCGAATTTTTTCATGCTAGTTCCGTCGAATAGTCACTGTTGATAAAAGCCAACATATATTTTTCTTTTTTTTTTCAAATTGCAGAAATATAGGACAGCTAGATATATACCAGAACCATCAGAAGGTATAAAAAATGACTACCCCCTTTATGATTTGTATTCATATGCTTCGATCTTCCTTATGATGTGAAAAGTCTTGTACGGTGTTAACTTATATTAACAAGTCTGATATTGTACCTTTATCTTTGATGTGACGTTTAAAGGATCCAAATATTTTGACTTTAAGATTTTCTTCTGTGACGGTTTTATCAGGCTCGCAAGAGACGAAGTTGACACCGGTTGAGCATGTTACATCTCTTGATTCGAAACGGTGGGGTTTTTTGTGACATCAAAAATAACAGGTGCTACACCATTTCTAACCAGATTCTTGTCTAAACAATTTGTTCATAACTGATTTTGCAGTGGGATAGATATAACTGAGGCGCTGCGAATGCAGATGGAAGTCCAGAAGCAACTGCATGAGCAGCTAGAGGTACAAATGATGGAAACATATGCCTTCCTCGGGATTTGTTTTTATTTGTTTTTTATGTGGTTTCAGGTTCAAAGAAAGATGCAACTGCGGATAGAAGAACAGGGAAAGGTCCTGCTCATGATGTTTGATAAGCAAAATATGAATTTTTGCAAACCGGATCAAGAAGACAAAGCAAGTGAGAAAACGCCTGAAAGCTGTTCAGAGGAGGCAGATTCTCCACGACCAAAGCGTCCGAGAAACAGTGAATGAAAGGAGATGCTTCTCGGGATGACAGATCATAAAAGTGAAAATGGTGCTTTGGTGAAGTTGAAGAGTTTTGACTTATTAGAGTAGGAGCTTTCTCTCTTCTTAGGGCCTTTTTTCTCTGCCTCCTTTTTCTTCTCTCTTTAGTAAAACTTTTATTTTCTGATTCTCAGCTCACTAGGAAGAAACAAAAATAAAGAGCAATGAATTTTGTAGAGTTTTCCCAATTTTTTGGGATGTAATCTGAATGCAGATTCTAGATTTAGTGTTTAGGTTAATTAAAACTCTTCTTTTTGGTGTTAGCATTTTTTGTACATATATAAATCAGCTCTCGTAAGATGAGTTCATGTCGGAGGCCAGAGAAAAATCTGAGAAAGAAGGTGATATGGTTGAGACAGAAGACAATCATAAACTCGGAATTAATTGCAAGTGTTTTGATATTAATCGCACTTATTTTGGTGAATTTATTAAACACATGGAATTTATATTCTTAAATATTTTTGAACTATTGTCTACAGATGCGAGCACTGCAATACTTATTTATTTATGTTTTCTTAATTCAAAAACAGCATGATAAATTATTATATAAGTTCTTAAATTTTTAAAATCCAACATCAATTAGTTATATTTGACAAATTTCATCAAAATATATATATGTTTATTATTGTGTTGATTAATATCTAATAATAAATTGTTTTACATATTAGTAATTTTAAAATTTTGCAATAGAAAAATACATATCTAAATAACAACATAATATATAAGAAATAATCTTATTTTTTAAATATATTTTTATTTTTTGATTTATAATCGTTATCTAATACAAAAAAAATCTAATATAAAGACTACAATTTAAAAATTATATAATAAACCACATATAAAAACTCCTTAACAGTATTTATGATCTTAGCCGCTTTAACTTTAACGTGAGAGTTCGAATGAAAAACATCATTCCATGAATAATAGTATAGATAGATGGAATTATTGGCTATTTGATGTTTATGAATTTGTCGACAAAAAAATATGCTTATGAATTTTAAAATTCAAACAAATTGTGGTTTTGTATCAATGGGTTTTTGAAACATTTGCCAAATTGGGTCAAAAAGGGGGGGGAGGTGTTTCGTCCCTAAAAGCTTTTTTTTTTTACAATGTCTTATTACCATTTTAATTTAATTAATATCATTTAGCTCTAGATTTTATAAAATAATAAATTATGTGTTAATATTTAGTTAATTATTAATTAATTTATAAAATTAGAAAAAGACAAAAGCCTAAAAACTCTCTTAATGATTGAAAAGCGATATCTTCTAAGTGTTACAAACAACAAACAACAAAGATCCAAGATCTTTTTACAGTTTTAAATCAGATTTCCGGTGCCAGACTACAATTTGTGGACGGGAAATGGATACCCTATAAATATGTTATTTAGGGGTTTCTTGGAAGATCATGGTTTCAGAATCAAAATCTGTTAATCTTCTGAGATTTATGTTCATCTGTAGACTATGAGGACACACAACCCGACGATGGCATCCATGGGTGTTAATCGGGAGTATAGATTAAAATCTCTATTCGTTTTGGATATAAGATGATGTTTCGTCCCTAAAAGTTTTTTCTTTTTGACAATGTCTTATTACCATTTTAAATTAACTGCTCCTGAGACACAGGATAACCCTTCAAGTTCTTGGGCTTGTAAGGCTGCTCTGGCTGTAAACACTCTTAGCACACAAGACATCTCAGAAAGTAATGCTGGCTCTTCATGACCGACTAAGAACCTTCTTCTACACTCTGGTGGACGCACCAATCCCATATGGTTGAGAATAAGTAAATTCCAGCCATCTCTCAACCCATCTCGATTCAAACTCAAAGTGATTGGACTGATATGATTCTCCTGATC